AACCTAGCCTAGACCTTCCTATGTCCCCGCCCCCTTCCTACCCTTAATCCTATCTATGCTCCATTCTCCCTTGGTCACACCTGGAGTTCTATTACCTCATAGACTACTTGGCCACTTCTAGATCCCTCCCATAGTCTCTCTGCATATAAGGTCCATCTTGTCTCCATTAAGATGCTTAGATTCTTAAAATCTAGCCACTGCTCAGATTCTTATAATCTAGCCAATAGCTCACTAACGTTCAGACTCCTTAAGAGTCTGCCCAATATGACAGAGGTTCTAATAAACCTTGTCTTTGGCTGAAAAAAAAATAGAGAGGCTGATCAATGGAAGGGATTAGGTACACAATACACAGCAGTAAATGAACATAGCAATCTAGTGTTTGATAAACCCAAAGATCCAAGCTTTCAGAGCAAGAACTCACCATTTGACAAAAACCATTGGGAAAGCTAAAAAATAATCTAGCAGAAACTAGGCATAGACCAATATCTCACACTGTATGCTAAGACAAAGTCGAAATGGGTACATGATGTAGACATAAAAAGTTATGTCATAAACAAATCAGAGGAGTTTGGAAAAATTTACCTGCCAGATCTATAGCTAACAGAATAGATTATGACCAAACAAGAGGTAGAGAGGATCATGGGAAGAGAAGTTAAAAATTTTGATTAGATGAAATTTAAAAGCTTTTGTACAAACAAAACCAATGCAGCCAAAATTAGAAGAAAACTGGGGGGGGAGAGAATTTTACAACAAGTTTCTCTGCTAAAGACATCATTTTCCAAATATGTAGGTAATTGAGCCAAATTTATAAAAATAAGAGCCATTCTCCAATTGATAAATTATAAAAGTATATAGATAGACAGTTTTCAGAAGAAAAATTAAAACTATCAATAGGACTATTGATAAAATGGAAAATTGTGAATCACTACTGATTAAAGAAATGCAAATTAAAACAAAGATGAGGTACTGTCTCACACCCATCAGATTGACTAACATGACAGAAAAGGAAAATGACAAATGCTGGAGGAAATAGATATGGGGAAACTGGGACACTAATGCACAGCTGGTGGAGTTGTAAACTAGTTCAACCACTCTGGAGAAAAATTTAGAACTATGAACAAAGGACTATAAAACCGCATACCCTTGACCCAGAAATAACACTACTAGGTCTATATGTCAAAGAGTTCAAAAAAAAAAAGGAAAAGGACCTATATATAAAACTATTTATAGCAGCTCTTTTTTGGTAGAGGGAAAGATTACACAATATTGCATAACTAGTATGTAGTAAAGGTGGGGCAAAAATATTGACAATAAGTGTCCAAAGAAATACAAAAGGTGACACAAATAGAATAATTTTTGTTACTGCCTTGTTGAAATATTATATGTGTATGTATGTACACATATTTTGTATAGTTTTAAAAACTGTTACAGAAGTTTACTATACAATTTTCTTTCTTTCTTTTTTTGTATTTTGAAATGTTTGTGTTTTTTGATGATAAGTTCACTCCTCTCTTGGATTTTCTCTAGACTTCACCTCCTCATCCTGGAAGATATTCTTCCTACTCCTCCAGTTGGCAAGTTCCCTCCCAGAACATTCATTTGAGGAAGTGGTCAAGCCAGGCATGTTCAGTCTTTTCTCAGTTCTGTTCTTGAGGCCTTCACAATGCCTCAGTGGGTACCTCTCCCCTCCTCTGCCCTCACTTTTCAGTCCTTTTTATGTGCTAAATTCTCTAAATGTTAGCTTCTTTGATTGCAGGGCTGGTCTTCCTGTTTATATTCTTATTCCCACTGCTAAGCACAGTGTGTGCAGGGCACATGCTAAGCACTTAATAAATGCTTTAATCTATCTTTTATCTATCTAAAGAAGAAAATAAAAAAGAATAAATATTTATTGTTCTGTCTCTCCATCAAGATTTTTACTAAAGCAGAATTTTGGCATTTTATGACAGCCTCTTTTCCCATCCAGACATCTTTATAGGAAATCAATCTAAAAAGGACTTTAGAATCATCTAGTACATCTTCCTAATTTTACAGGTGAAGAAACCAAGGCCCAAAACTTTAAGTATTTTGGTCTACATTAACACTAATAATGAGTAGCAAAGCTCTGTTTCCAAATCTAGTGTTCTTTTTACTACACTGTGAGAAATTTAAAATTGATACTCTCTTTTATTTTCTATCATTTTATAAGGCTTAGTCAATTTACTATGTATTAATAATCAATCTGCTGTATATTGGTTGGCCCCCTCATTATGTGAGTTTGAATTTCCTTAACCCTCTAACTCACATTTGTGAATTTGCTGACCATGGAGGAGAGATGAGTCAACCTGGTCACAGGATGTTTGCTCACCACAGGATTTTCCAGAAGATATTTATGGAAAAGTTGTGAAAATCCTCCCTCTGAGTCAAGCCAAACATAGCTCACCCTCCATCTCAGTGTCAGACCAATCACAGTCTTAGTCATGGGACTATTTTTTAGTACTGCTAGCCTTTCAACTGTATAAAAAAGTTTCTCTGATTGATGTAGTCTTGGCTACCAGAAGAACCCTTGTATCCCTTTTATTGGTAATTGCTAGCCTTGCTAATAAATTGAACATGCTTGGAACTTCATGTTTCAGTTTCTTTTTATTTTATTTTTTTTAGATTTTATGGGGACAACTTCATTTCCTCTATTCAAGCCTTCATTGACATTTAGGAAAGAGCACCTTAAACAGTTCATGTACCCTCTGGGTGCTTTATAAATGCAAAAACAGAGTAGCTGGTTCTTATTGTCCATGTGAGAGACCTGATTGCCAGGGTAGCCCTTCTGTTTTGAACAGTCAAATGATGGCATTCTTTATCTCTCTCAGTTTTTACCTAGTCCTTAAGTCATTGAATGGATGTTGCCTCAGAGAAACTGAGGCTTGGTAAAGACCTTAATTTAGAAAGGCTACTGTCATCCACTGTACCTCTGCCTCACTTAAATCCAGTTCATGTGCAAGAGATCAACTTTGTGATGTCATTAGTCCTCTTTGAGAATGAAGGATGAACAACAACTCATGATTACTTTCCTAATTGCTACTTATATGCATTTCCTACTATCATCTTATCCTACATTTCTAAAAAGATACACCATTTATCTATGAATCTATGGCTTCTCATTCCCTCCTTCCTGTTTTTTTTTTAATTTACAAGGTTTCCAAAGTCCATTATTTCACTAATTGTTTTGTCCTGGCCCTTCTTTCACTCATTTTTCAGAATCTAAATTAATAATTTACTTTTAATTTGGTATATTCTCACTGATTTGTATTCTTATTAAAAGTTGGCACTACGCAATTGCAAAGAAAAACAAAAGTGAATGTTGAGAAATTATAAGGAATAAATGTGACTTACAGATGTCTCCCACATTCCCCCTTTGTAAAGAAGGGAGGTCCATAAGTGTTATACATTGCACATATTTTCAGACTTTTTCAATGTATTAATAATTTTTGCTGATTTTTCTCTTTTTCTTTTTTGTTTTTAAAGAGTATTATTTATTATGTGGGATGGATCCCTTGGAAGGGAAGGAGAGACAATAGGGGAAATTATTATGACGTGAAAAAAACAAAAAACTTACTTAAAAAAATTATCACTATGAACAGTAAATGGAGAAAACATCCATGTGACTGAAAATATCCATGTATTACAGACAATTCTCTCCACAACAAGCAGTATATGTTTGGTTCTCTTGGTATCTATTCACCTCATTCATTACAGGGCCAGTAATTTTGCTTATATGCAAATGCTTATATAAGTGAAGATGATATGGTGCCTTGCCCCCTCCCACCATTTCTAATGTTTTATTTCTAGGCCAATGAGCCTTCTGATGCTGCTTTTTACCCGTATTTTTGCTTCTTTCCACATTTGTTCTACAGTTGTAAATATTCCTAAAATTCATATAATTCTGAAACCTTGATATTCCAACATTTTGCCTCTGGATGCCCAAGAAAGAAAGGGTGGCCAGGGAAAGAGCAAAAGGTGTCATTCAAATGTATCCAGTGGACCACGGTAAAAATAAATGGCTGCCCAAGATAATTATGTGCGCTCTTCTTCGCACCAATTAACTTTCACCCACAACTGATTCATCTTGGTTTTGGGGGGGTTTTGTCTTTCTCAGGAAGAAACATTGAAGGCAATGTCAGTTTCCTGCTGACATTTTAAATTCTCACATCACAGTAATTTACAGTTTTCTCTGACCTGCCAAGCTTGAAGCTCTTCTTAGTTTTCACTTTTTTCCTTTCCATGAACCCTTCCTGCTGAGCTTTAGGGACAGGGAATCTCTCTGTGTGTGTGTGTGTGTGTGTGTGTGTGTGTGTGTGTGTGTGTGTGTTTTGGGGTGGAGGTGGAGACTCAAGGGGTGCACCTGATCTCCTTGCTAGAGGTGTGAGAGATGTTAGTGTCAATGACAGCTTTGCAGCTCCCAAATGCTCCTCCTTCCCAAACGGTACTGTCCTCCAGTCACTGCTGTCAGGAGGTCAGAAAACAGTGGACTCTTGGAGTATAGCTAGTAGGAAAGAAACAGTTTTACTGCGGGCTGAAGAGGCCAAATTAGGCTAAAGGAAAAGACGCAGCGGGACAGGAGGGAGATGCTGAGAGTGGGAACTACCTGCAGCTTTACCGGTTGCTGCTCGCTGCCATCCCATAACCCAAGCTGAACTACCCTACGCGGGTCGCTGTCCACAGTGGGAGGTGCTGAAAGCAAAGGAAGGGAGAGTAGGGGGCGAGGCGGACATCTTCTTCCTCCCCCCTCCTCCCTTCGCTGTTCCTCCAATCCTCCCCTCCTCCCGCAGCCATTTTACACCGGCGGAGAGGGGCGGGGGAAGGGGAGAGGGACGGGAGATCTGGGCGGAGAGAGCCGGCACTGCCTCGGGGAAGGAGGGGATGAGAGTTGGGGGGAGCAGCGGGAGGAGGAGGAAGAGGAGGCGGCGGCGGCTACCGAGGAGGCAGTGCTGGGTCCCTCAATAGGGCTCACAGGAGCCACCATCATGGTGAAGAGGAAAAGCTCCGAAGGCCAGGAGCAGGACAGCGTCCGAGGCATCCCCCTCCCCATCCAGACCTTTCTATGGAGGCAAACCAGGTGAGGGGCAAAGAAACAAGCCGCAGTGCGCGGTCCTAGGAGTACCTCCTCCCCGATCTCCCCCCCCACCCCCCATCCCCGGTTCACTGGGCCACTGGAGATGCTCTGGATGGGGCCGGGATGCTCTGCTGCTGTTGCTGCAGCACCTCTCAGGGGAGGAGAAAAGCGAGCCTTTGGAATCCTTTTTCTGTTTTGTTTTAATGAAGTTTGATAACATACAGGCAGGAAGCTATCAAATATATAGATATGGATATATACATTATATATGCGTGTGTATACATATACACACGCATATATACACACAGAGGTTATTTGGAGATAGAGGAAGATAGCTGGAAAGGGAAGAGGGGGAGGAGGAACAAGGGAGATAAACGTGCTTATACGTACTGATTTTTCCTCCGCCTCCTGCTGTAATTTTAGACCAGTGACCTGTTGTTTGTCCAGTTTCTCATATTGAGAGAGTGCTCGTTATGACCACTTGTTACCATTTTTGTTTTCAGTTAGACATAATTGTCATCTTCCTGGTTTAAGCCCTTGAGGAAAGCTTTTCAGCCAAAGATTGCCTTTTTTTTTTCTTGGAAAGGCCCAAACCCTTTTCCAATAAGCAACCTCTAAAATATATAGCTGCCAGATGTAAAAATGGATTCTGAAAATTGTGGCTTTCAGTTCAACTCCAAATCTAAGAAGGTGTAATCAGTTTCAGTTTTCAACAGTATTAGTAGTGAATTTGAAGTAATCAAGTAGATAACCGTTTCTGATACAAATCTCACTCTTACCTATAAAAACAATGACTGTAACTGACAATAAATGCTTATTCATTACTGTTCTTAAACATGACATTTGAGTCCTATGATCCCAAGTTTTTAATGTTGATAGTTATAAAAATACAAAGGGTATTTAATGACTATATATAAATATATATAATACTTTGCTTTGCTTGTAATTGCTTCAACTTTTGAAAATTTGTTAATTTTTCAGTGCTTTTTTGAGGCCCAAACTGGGAAAGCAATATGAAGCCTCCTGTGTGGTATGTGATTTTCACTTTTTAACTAGAAAATCCATCATAGTCGCTGTGGTAGATAGAAGAAAAACATAGAATTAATTTCAGCCGTAGTTTCATGTGAGGTACATATATGAAATACTCAAGCAAAATAATATGAACTTGTGGGTTTTTATATGTGAATCATCAAATTTATATGACAAGTTGAAAATATATAAGAATACAAAGCATCAGAAAAGAATATTAATAATTAAAAGGCATTCTTCAGGTTGTTGACAGAAGTTTTTATCTAGCCCATTTGGTCCAATACATTCTACAACACGATCACTCAAGAAAACTAAGTTGGTGAACTTATTTGGCTACTAGCAAATGATATCAGTATATCCTCCAACAAATAGCTATACTATTGTGTATCTCTTTTACATTTGGGAGAATGCATATTTTCCAGAGACTTGATAATGCTTCATTTCCATAAACACTGTTGTCCTCCCAAACTCCCCATAATAAAAAATTAGTCAAGCACTATTCATCCCAGTTTACAGACTGAAAAAATGAGGAATAGAGATCACTGAGTAGAATGGTAATGGAGTTCACATAAAGCCAGGATAGTTATAAATTGGGATGCCTAGTTGAGGTCTTTACACATCTGTTGTCACAGTACGCAAATGAAAATTTGTCTATTTACAGATAGGCGCACCAAAATGTAAATGATGGGCCCTAATCCAATCAATGAACAACAACAGAGACTTAAATCTGTTATATCCATTAGCTTTTGCTTGGAGTAAACAATTTGAAATTTCTTCTGTAATTTTTTTTTGTTTTTCAAAATTATCAAAACAAAGTTCTTAAAGATACATTACTTTTTCATAGGTTCATTGATTTATGATTTTGCTTAGCTCAAGTGGGAAGTAACTTGACATTTTAATTACTATGAATTCTCTTACAATTTCATTGATTCTTCATCTACCTTTGAATGGCCCTAAATATATGCTTTAACTGGGCCCATCCATCTACAATTAGGCATACATATTTGACAAATGTCTTTATATAAAATAAATGAATGCATAAAAGTAAAGCACACAAACTGAGGTGGGGTGTGATTATGGGAGGGTGAATGTGCATCTACATGAAAAAAACTTTTCAGACTGGAAACACAACACAAAAAACATATTAGCTGAATATTATTTCAAAATGAAAAAGACATGACAATCCAGAATTCGTACAGGCCATTTTAAATGTTTAAACTTTTGTTGTAGGAAGTATTCTCAAAGATTATTTTAGGTGTGTTCAAGCTTTTGAATCTTTTATACTTTTAAATTCCTAAAACACTTATCCTTTAGTTAATTAGTGCTTCAGATGCTTAGAGGCTGAAGAATTTGAAAGTATTTGGATCTACAAAACAAGCAATATCTAAAGGCCTTTATTTAGCTTGTTAAGAGAAAACAAAAGGCCACAACTCTGATCTCTCCCTTTTTTTCTAAAACAGAGCCACAGAATCACAGAATAGCTTTGATTACAAGGTCTTTAAAAAAAAAAAAAGAAAATCCTTTGTATTGATGTGAACTGAATTGGTGAATTGGTTCTTTGTAGCGCATTAGCCACCAATTTGGCCTTTTATTTTTTTTTATTCCAATTATCCCCACCCCCAATCCCAACTTAATCCTACATACATATCTTGTAGCATTACAACAAAATCAGAAAGGAGCAGAAAGAGTTAAATAATACATTCTCATTCTGTGATGCTTAGCAAAAGCTATACTCTGTTGACATTCCAGAACAGTACATAGAATAATTGAAACCATCAATATAAAAGCAGATTAGATTTTGGGGCAATGTGTCCTACATCATGACCAAATACCAACTCTGACTGTTGAGATACTAGAGTGTAGATGATCCCAGGATTAGATTCATGTTTAAAATCAGAGCTGCACAAAAGCAGTCTACGTTCATTGATGCCAATTTTGACCATGAGAACTCTTACAACATTTGGTTCCTCCTGTAAACTTTAAACAATCCCTATGGATCACTCAAAAATGTTTGAATGAGCTTATTTCATTTAAGTTATTTAAAGGGAAAAGACCAAACGAGCTTCTTCCACCCATTGTATAGAAATGAACATCAACACATAATATGTAGTTCATTCAAACTACAGAAATAGACCTGAAAACTTATGAATTATAGGAGATTAGTTTTAACTTGAATGCAGGCATACAAAGATGTAGGAATCACTAAGATGACAACATTGAAAAAATTTTGACTTGGAATTTTCATCATAGATAGCATGGTCTAATAGAAAAGAGCCAGAAAACTGGGGGTCAAAAGACCTGTGGTTTGAATTTCATCTATTACACTAACTATATGACCTTTGGAAAGTCATCTGTAAGATAAAGGGGTTAGAATAGATCGTCTCTGAGGTCACTTCCAGCTCTAAAGCTAAAATCCTATATGATCATTGGAGTTAGAGCTCAGAAGAACCTTAGAGATCATATAGTCCAGTCTTCTCATTTGACAATGAGGAAACTGAGGCCTAGAGTGTTTTACTGGCTTACTCAGGATCACAGATCTATGCTAAGTAAAATTCAATCCAGGTTCTCTGAATCCAAACCAGTGCATTTTGTACTATATCACATAAGTCTCCTCTCTGAACCTCAGGTTCAGATAATAATAATAATTGCCCTACCTATATCATTATGAATATGAAATACAATAATGTATTTAATGTGCTTTGTAGACTTGAAGTGTCATGTAAATGTAAGTTATTATTTTTATCTTTTAAAAATATCTGTTATGGTAATGTTTTCCATGACTGCATATGTATAACGTGTATCAAATTGCTTGCCTTCTCATAGAGGGCGGGGAGAGCAGGAGAGGAGGGAGAGAGAGTGAATTTGGAACTCAAAAAAATTTTAACAATGAATATTAAAAAATGTTTTTAAATATTAAATTAAAATTTTAAAAATAAAAATACATTAGTAGAAGGCATCTTAGACTCTGTTCTCCATTGTGCATTAAGATAGTCTAGTACAATAATTTATGTGTTCTTCCCCATCTTGTAGTCCTTTGAACGAGTTCTGGTCGAAAACAAGCTCCATGGCCTCTCTCCAGCCCTTTCTGAAGCCATCCAGAGTATTTCCCGATGGGAGTTGGTCCAGGCTGCACTGCCTCATGTTCTGCACTGCACTGCAACACTGCTCTCCAACAGGAATAAACTGGGTTGGTACTCCACCATGTGCTATTTAGTGTATACCACTATTACCTACTTATGAGAAGCAATGTGTTCCCATGGTGGTTCCCAGAAAATTAATGACAACTCATTCTGTAATGACTGCAGCTACTTATTTTTGTTCTTATAACCAACACAGTACTCTTGCCTTTGGATTTAGTCCATTCTTCAGTGACTACAGATTTAGAAGTCCATCTGCTAAAGTCATTGTCCTGCTATTAACACTGTATTTACATCACTTTGAATCACAATTATATTTTTAGGTCCAGATCCAGTGATTTGGATACTACAGGAATTCCTTCTACCAACCTGTTTCACACCTGATCTATAGCTTAAAGTCTTGAGAGTAGCCTGAAGTTAAGTGATTTATTTGCCCATGATGTGCAATTTTAGTCCAAGTTATCTTGACTGTAAGTCCAGCACACTACCCACAATGCCATATTGTTTCTTTTTCTTTGTACTTGTTCCTTAAAATGAACTATAATCAATGTTGACTATACCTTTTTTATAAAAAAAAGGTCATTTATTATATTTGTTGTTAGTTTCTAATCTATATTTTTTCTACTTAAATTTGTTAATGAAAATAACCACAGTAGGGCAATCCATGAAACCATATATTGTTATCCCTGTTAATAGACATAATTGCAAAAAGAATTTCTTAGCAGAATATACTTGGTATATGCCTTTCTGTGCATTCCTTCAGGTAATCATCAGTGTATTTGTATTCCAAGTGGTAGCAAGACTGAAAGATTTCATGCTTAATGGCTACCAATATAAATTACATGGTAGGAGAAATCTGGTAGTACTCTCTACTGCCCAAGTGACAGTTTGCAGAACCAGCAAATCTTTGACCTGAAACTAGTGCTACTGCCATATAGAGAAACACTCAAAACTGAAATCTAATAATTTTGAACTGACCTCTAATTATCTGACGTTTAGGAAATATTTAATTACCTTTGAAAATTACTAAAGTAAAATGGAAAAAGATACCTCTAAAGTTCAATGTCTCTTTGATTCTTGTAGATAATTAAAAATGAAGTTGTATTTTAATGGTATAGCAGCAACATAGTTTGCCTTATACTTGAAAAATTTTGAAAAAGAGATTACAATTATTATCTACTTTGAGCAGATTCCATATCTGAAATTGAAAGGTTAATTCAGATAAATTATAGAGTAGTTATTCATTTTACAGAAGATTTCACCATAGTAGTCATTTAAATATTGAGGCCCTTTTTCATTTGTGAAAGAAAACATATTAATATTAATACTGTACCCTACAATTAGGCTCAAGTATGTTGGAAACAATTTTATTTCATTGACTTTAGTCTGTCTCCAAGCCATTTCTAGCAGGGAGGGAGGAGAGAGAGAGAGAGAGAGAGAGAGAGAGAGAGAGAGAGAGAATGTCCAAACTAACATATCCTTTCCCACCACACTCCAATCCTTTAAGAAGACACTGCCCCAAAAAGATTTCAGAAAACATTTATAGAAATCCTGAAGAAAGAAAAGATATGTTAAAATGCAGTCCAAGTTAAGATTATAGAATTATCTAGTAACCAAACCACTACCCCATTCCTCCTAGACCACCTCTCTTACCTCTGGGATTACACAAAGAGACCTCTCTTACACTGAAATCTTAATTCTTTCTCTATGGGGATGTGTGAGTGTTAGCTCACTAATCATTTCTAGTGAACCAGTAAAGGAGATTGAACTTAAATGAGTCAGTATCCAGATTACTTCAGGGGTGGGGAAGGATATGATATAAACCAGACTAGAATTATTTTTTGTTAAAAAGTTTGGTACCATCCTTAATCCATTTCCCTAAGAAAAGGCTTGTTTTTCAAGGGACTTTTCCAAGGTTTTTGGAAGAGTTTTAGAGAAAAACATTTATTAACATTTTCAATTTTACTGAAAAAGGTTTGTAATATGTTTCTACTATCTACATGAATTTAAACAAAAAGAAAACCTTTTAAGGTAAGTATTTTTAACATTTTTGTGTCATGGAACACTTTGGCATCCCTTATGGATCTCTTCTCAGAATAATGTTTTTAAATGCATAAAATAAAATACATGTGATTACAAAAAAATGAATTATGTTGAAATATAGTTATCAAAGTATTTTAAAAAAACAAGTTCATGAACCTTGGGCTAAGAACCACTGCTTTATGGTATTATTGTTAACCATAGCTTTTGGTAGCTTTTATTCATTTAAAGCCAATAAACCCTTAACAAGTTGTTACATTGCATTCACTTGAATTTTATTATTACTACACATAGAAAGGAGGGGAAGCTATAACATGGAGTGCATTTTCCATCACCTAGTAAACTAGTAGAAGAAGTCTCACAGTCCCTACATTTAAACTGATTGTTTAGTTCACAAAATCACTACTCTTCATCAAAAGATGTCACTGGTAAATATTTTTCATCCAGGTCATCAGGATAAACTAGGTGTTGCAGAAACCAAGCTCCTTCACACCCTGCACTGGATGCTGCTTGAGGCCCCCCAGGATTGCAACAGTGATCGATTTGGAGCAGGTGACAGAGGCTCCAGCTGGGGTGGTGGCAGCAGTGCCTTCATCCATCAAGTTGAAAACCAGGGATCACCAGTGCACCCTCGGCGAAGCAGCTCCCATGAAGAAGAAGAGAATAGCCATAGGAAATTCTTCCAGAACTCCATGGCTACAGTAGAACTCTTTGTGTTCCTATTTGCTCCTCTGGTTCACCGGATCAAGGTAAGGAAATGTCTATAGGGAGTAAAAACCACTTTAACTCATCTTTCCACCTAAGCAAGACCAAGTCTTGGTATAATCATTTTGGAGATCAATGCATAGGCAGAAAATGACTTTTAAATTCAAGTGCTATTTGATTGTTAAAAAAAATTATAAACTATGAGAACTGGGGGAAAAAAATGGAATGGACTGTCTCAAGGTGGTCAGTTCCCCCATCCTTATAGAACAGAGTTTGGATGACTATGTCTCAGAAGTAATCAACATGATTGCTTTTTTTTATGTGTTGGACTAGATGGCTGCTTATGTCCCCTTGAACTCTCAAAGTCTGTGAGATTCTGTAAACAGGACCCAGAGAGAGAGTGATGTTTAGTTTAAAAGAATAGATTGCTAGTGGTAGAAACCAATTTTTTGATAGGCTTACAAGGGAGGTATTAGTAGATAAGAGGACTTGGAAATTTTTCTACAAAATGAGAAGCCTATACTTATGATGATCCTATATAGTACATGTCCTGTAGTCTAACATTATATGTTGTAAGGCCCCTTCCCAATGTAGCACTGTATGATCAAAAGCCACTTCTGGCACTAACATTCCATTATAGGGGTCGTGTAAAAGCTATAGTTATGCTAAAAATAAAAAAAAACTAAAACTAAAACAAAAAATACCCCACAAATTCTGAGCCTAATAATGACCCCCAAAGACTTGAGAGGAAAATAAAATATATATTCACACCTGTCCTTCGAATTAATAGACAGATAATTTTTCAGTCATATCCAAATCTTTGTGACCCCTTTTGAGGTTTTCTTGGCAAAGATCTTGGAATAGTTTGCCAGTTCCTTCTTCAGCTCATTTTACAGATGAGGAAACTGAGGCAAACAATGGTAAATGACTTGCCAGGGTCGCATGGCTAGTGTCTAAGGCCCGATTTGCACTCAGTTCCTCCTGACTCCAGGACTGGCACTCTATCCACTGTACCACCTAACTGCCCCCAGTGATAAGTAATTTTATCATCTTAAGAGAAGAACATAAAAGACATCATGGTAAAGAAGGCATTGGCTTCAGATTCAGAGAGACTTTGGTTCAAGTACTACCTCTGGCACATACTAGCTGTTTGACCCTGGACAATTGACACTGTAAGCCAAGGACACTCTATCTGTTGTTAGAGACAACTTCTGATATTAAAGGACTTAATTGTATGTAGATACAAATCAAATACCCAATTATGGAGGGTAGGATTGACAACCCTCAAAAGAAAACAGAGTTGTAGATGAGGGTTAGTGGAGAAAAACCTTATGCAATTATAACAATTGATAGTGTCGCATAGAGCTATCCAAGCACCTACAGTCACTTTATTATGTGGAGGTAAGGAAGAGGATGTTAGAAACTCAGAGGGTGATAAAAACTAAGTCCTCCATTGTGATTAGCAGAAAGCAGTCAATACATTTGTTTTCTCCATTTAAATCTCTTGTTCTGTGTCTGCTTAAGTCTGTATTACACAAGACCTATCCATAGACTTTTTGACTTTATGCGTGTGTTTTCACCCAATTCATTGCTCTCATTGCTCTGTACCACTCTTTCCCCATGGGATTGAACACTGCTGAAAAGCAACCCCAGCCCTTCTTCTCTTTCAGGTGAAAAATTTTGTCATATGGTTGATAAGTCTTGGACTTGGATTTAGGAAGACTGGAGTTCAAATTCTGCAGAGACACTTAATAGTTATGTGACCCTAGGCAAATCTTTAATTTCCTCATGCCTTGGTTTTTTTATCCCTATAAAATGGAGATAATAAAAAGACCTTCTTCAGAGGATGGTGGCTGTTGTGAAGATCAAATCAAACTAGTTAATATCTTTAAATATCTTTGCAAACTTTGCAGTAGTATAATTGCTATCATTTCTCATCCTTAAAGCTAATTTTGGGCATTAAAGGCTTTTAATATCCTTTGGCACAGGATCAGGAAGGTTCATTTTGGTACTATCCATTCCAGTCCAATCTGGAGAGAAAGCATTTTTTGTCTCATTTAAAGTTTTTTCATAGTATTTTTCCAATTATATGTAAAGACAATTTTTAACATTCATTTTTAAAAATTTTAGAGTTCCAAATGACCTCCCTCCCACCCTTGCCCACCCTTTCCCTAAGATGGTAAGCAATTTGATATAGGTTATATCTGTTCAATCACGTAAAACATTTCCATATTAATTGTGTTGTGAAAGAAGAAATAGGCCAAGAAAAAAAGAACCATGAGGAAAAAGAAAGAAAGTAAAAATGGTATGCTTCAATGTGCATTCAGACTCCATCAGTTCTTTCTCTGGATGTGGATAGCATTTTTCATCATGAGTCCTTTGGAATTGTCTTAGATCTATGTATTGCTGAGAAGAACTGTCATTCATTGTTGATCATCACACAATGTTGCTATTACTGTGTACAATGTTCTCCTGGTTCTGCTCACTTCACGTACGTCTTACCAGGTTTTTCTGAAATCAGTATGCTCATCATTTCTTACGATACAATAATATTCCATTACAACCATATATCATAACTTGTTCAGCCATTCCCCAATTGATGGGCATCTCCTCAGTTTCTAATTCTTTGCCACCACAGAAAGATCTGCTACAAATATTTTTTAACATGTAGGTCCTTTTCCCTTTTTTTTATGATCTCTTCAGGATATAGACCTAGTAGTGGTATTGCTGGATCAGAGTATACACAGTTTGATTGCCCTTTGGACATAGTTCCAAATTACTCTCCAGAATGGTTGAATCATTTCACAACTCCACCTACAGTGCATTACTGTCCCAATTTTCCCACATCCTCTCCAACATTTATCATTTTCCTTTTCTGTCATATTAGCCAATCTGATAGGTGTGAATTGGTACCTCAGAGTTGTTTTAATTTGAATTTCTCTAATCAATAGTGATTTAGAGCATTTCTTCATATGACTTTGATTTCTTCATCTGAAAACTGTGGAAAGGTATTTTCATTATCTCTTATTGAAGTGTTGTATTATCTACAACAATGAGCCCTATGCCACAAATACTGAAAACATGAGCCCAAGATGGAACACAATATAAGCACACCCTAAGGATTTGCGACCTTTTTCTGACCCCTCCTAACCATTTGGGGTGTATAGGGTATTCAAGGAGGACTAGCACCTCTGGTGTGAGGGCTTGCTGAGCCCTTTTCAGGGCTGCTTAACCACCTTTGGTGTCTACCTGGCACTCAACTCTCACCTGTGACTCCAAGAAACTGTGCCATGTGCAATGGCTGCACACCAGTAAACTATCTCATCAGACAGGCTAAACCAGGTTGAGGGCAACTGATAGGCCACAAACCTGTCAGTGAGTTAGGGGAGAATCTACCCCAAGCATGTGAAGACTTCCCCTAACAGAATGGACAGATGAGAACAATTTGTTTCAACAGCTATGAAGGTGTCTGAAGTGGGCACTGTGGAGTGCATAGAGCTTGATCAGACATCGAAGATGCCAAGGCTATCTACTGTATCCTAAGCCATCTTCAGTCATCTTGACTTCTGTCTTGCCACTGACCTTTGATGGCTCTGGAAGAGAGACTGAAGCTGACAATGTTGTACAATTCTACCTCACTTAAATCCAGTCCATGCATGAGTTAAGATGTCACTCTGATATGTCTTTGGTCCTCTTTGAAAATAAAGGACAGAAAAAAAACAACTTATCATTTCCATTCCTGCCTTTCCACAGGCTCCATTTTTCCATCAATAGTCCCTGAAGCAGGCAAAATGGTTTGGGGTTCCTCATCAACAGCTCAGAGGGTAACTGAGCAGCTTATGACCAGGTCAGACCTATACTTTAGTAATATCAATTTGACTGGTATATGGAGATATAATGAAAGAGATTGAAGTCAGGGAGACCAAGTAGGAGGCTCTGGCAGTAATCTAGGTAAAAGTGGATTGATTAGGTCCTATTATAACTTCTGAATATACAAGTATAAAAGTGAAATTGTTCTTGTTCCATAAAAGTTTACATTTTATTAGAGAAAGGGAGATATAACGTTCACAGTTGAGTAAATGTGAGATATCCACTTAAATACACAATGATTAGAGGCAGGGAGATGGATGATGAAGAGAATGCAGAAAGGCCCTTGGAAGGAAGAACTACTTGAACAGAGCCTTGAGAAGAGATGGGGTTGCAAGAAGTGGCGGCAAAAAAGATGAGCATTCTAGGTATGAAGGGCAGCTGAGCAATGACAGTGACTAAAGATGGAATGCTGTGTGCAGAGAACAGAACAGCCAACTTTGACTGGAGCATCGAGTGTGTGAGGGACAGTAATGTGTAATCAATCAGAAAAGCTTCTTGAGCAGAGAAGGGGGATGGCCAAATCCAAGCTTTAGGACTCATTTTGGCAGCTGTGTGGAAGATGGATTGGAGAGATGCACAGGGGACAGGGACATGAATGAAGAGATTATTGCAATAGTCCAAGTGAGAGAGAATGAGGGCAAACCATGGTATCTGGGGTATGAGTAACAATAGCTGGTGAGGATGAGTTGGAAAGACTTTGAAGAAGAGATTTAAAGCAAGGTTTTGTTTTGGGGTTTTTTTTCATTTATTAAGTTTTCACATTTCTGCCTCTATCTTTCAGGATTATAAAATAAAAACCTCTACTTTCTTTTTCTTTTTAAATACATTTATTTATTTATTTTTGACATTTTTTAAAATTTTAAGTTCTGAATTCTCTCCCCATTTTTCTTAAAAAACAGAAATATAAACCAAAAAAATTGACAGTGAGTAATGAAAAATTCCCCAGACACAAAAATCCAATTTAAAAAAAAAAAAGCTTTTGGTCTGTCAGCTTGTCTGACATCACAAAATAATCCTTAGTAAACAACATTTCTAAAGCAAGCCTGTCCTCCTCCCTCCCACTGCTTACCCACCCTTCAACCTTAAAAAATAACTAAGAGGTATGCTTACTTACCACTTGGAATTTTTTCTTTTAAAATACTTATACACACAAATCAGTCACCCTTTTAAAAAAAAATCTAAAAATTAGGAAATAAAAAACATATACTTTTTAAAAATTCATTTTCATTTCATTTCCAATTCTAATTCTCTCCCTGGCATTATCCCTTCCCTTCCCTATTTAGAAAGCAAGAAGAACAAAACCCATTACCAATATGTATAGTCAAACAAAATAAATTTCCAAATTACCCATGTCCATGTTTCAATGTTCACTCCTACTCTATATCTGGAGGTGGAGAGTAAAAATATAGCTTTTCCAGAAGTTTCTTTCACTTCCTCCTCTCACCCAATAATTTCTAATAGCATTTAGCATTTCATGCACCTGTTTTAGCTTTCCTGAAAATGGACTGAAAGCCAACTAGGATGGGAAAGATGATTGTATTTCTTCCAGGGTATATGATATTATTGATGCAAGTATTGTAAGTGGTAAAGGACACATGGGCAACAGGTTAGAATTCTCACTTAGCCTATGAGAGTCAGTAAAATGGCAACATTCCACCTACCACCAATTCATTTAATTATCTCATAAATATTTAGTGAGCACCTTCTATGGATAAGAACACTGTGTCTAAGGCTAGAGGAGATAACAAAATCAATGAATATGGTTATTGGCCTCATGGAATAGTGTATCTAGATGGGGATAAGAATAATTAGGTCTTCTGACATCATGAATGAATGAATGAAGCATGTATTAAGTGCTTAGTGTGTGCAAAGCACCATTCTAAGTGCTAGGGATACAAACAGAAAAGTAAGACAGTCCTTGTCCTCAGAGTTTGCATTCTAGTAGGGAGAGAACACAAATGGAGCTTTTCAGCTACAAATCAAATGGGAAAGTCTCATGGTCCTTTGTTACAGTGGCAAAACAAATATTAATGTATCCTTTAATGCCGTGTTCCCAGATAAAATGCCAGTTTCAGATGTTGAACCATTTGACAGTGCCAAGCACTTTGGTGGCAAGAACTTTCTTTTTCATATTTTCAGTAGCTATGCCTCCAGTACCTGTAAGAGCAGTTATGCAGCCACATCTTCCCAGGCTTCCTTCTCAGGAATTCAGCTAAAGGCACTGGGCTAGAAGCATCGCTATTCCCAAGGCTCTTTGCTGAACTGTCTCCATCAGGGTTTGAGGTGGGGGTAGTTTGACTTGCCTGACACATGTTACCTCCTGTCTGGCCCTCAAGGTGTCTTACTGCTTTGGCTAAACCAGATTACCTGGCCTATGTTAGTTGACAGTTGGTGGGGATGACTGTTCCCCCCACCCCATTTTCAATAGGAGTTGTTTCACCAGATGATAGCTGGGAGGGCAAGCTGTGATCTGGGTGGAGGGGAGTGTTGCCACTCCCAGATGCCCTGTGCCTTTCTGCCTATTGGCAGCAGTTGGTCACACTGCTGGTAATGAGAAAAATGAACCTCTTCCCCACAATTATTTGTCAATCAATCAATAAGAATTTATTAAGTGCCTACTGTGTGCCAGGCTAGATTGGAAGCAGGTATGATTGTTTAGGGAGCGCTGCTATTTCCAAGACTCTTGGTCTCAAGATGGTGGAATATCTCCATATCTCCATCAGGGTTTGAGGAGAGATGATAATCTAAGTTGTGGTAATGAATGTTTTACTTTCCTGGCATATACTACCTCCTGTCTCTCCCACAGGGTATCTCTGCTTCAGCTAGGCTGGTTACCCTACCATGTTCTTACTCTTTTTACTGCATGACATTTTTAGTTAATTCAACCCTGATATGAGTAGCCCTTTGTCCACTTCTTAAGATCTAGTTGAAGTATCTTGCTTTTCTTTCCCATCAGGAATCTGACCTGACTTTCCGGTTGGCCAGTGGTCTTGTTATTTGGCAGCCAATGTGGGAGCACAGACAGCCTGAGGTCTCTGCCTTTACAGCTCTGGTGAAACCTATCCGGAACATCATTACAGGTAAGTAGTTTAGAGTCCCAATGAGGTGGAGTGAAAAAAAAATCTCTTAGGAATCTTTGCTTCTTTGCTTCTTTCTCATGTAAGCATGAGGATGGTAGGATGATTTTCTCTTAATGAAGAGGCCATTAAAAAGGCAGTTCTTTCTGATAGACGACTTTTGCAATCTTATGCAGCATCTATCAATCAATAAATATTTATTAAGGACACTTAGTAGTGATACAAAGCTTAGCAAATGTGTTTACACGAAGAAAGTAATGCTAAATTTTGATCCATAGTGGTAATACACTGTTTTGACTTGTTTTATAACTTTGATAAGCTAGCATCTTTCTTTGTGTTTGCCCTTCCTGATGATTCATCATTGAATTCAATCCAACAAGTACCTGTTATTTGCAAGGCACTCATGTTACCCCTTATCCTCAGATAATGGTAAAACTGAGGCTTATCTCAAATGGGAGTGAACTTTTTAGTGTTAATAGTCTCTTCTTGTTAGAAAATTAAACTGCTGAATTGCTGATAAAACAAATAGTAGCAAACAGTGGAAATTCTGAAATAAATTTTAAAACTGGACATTTAGATGACCTCCGAACATGTGTTCAGGAAAATATCTTTGTAATTTCTTCAGAAACATTTTTGCATAATATATCATATTCTTTTGTTTTTGCTGTTGAAATGAAACAAAGGCTATCTAAATCCCCACTTCAACCCCGCTGGGGAATTCTTTTCATCCTTGTAGCCAAGAGAAGTTCTCCAATCAACAATCAGAGTCAGGCCTGTGAGTCACCAAATCAGGGCACAGGTCACTCAGAGGTAAGTTTATTATTACAATTTTGATGATTTTTCCACCAAATCCCTCTCCAATGCCAGCAGGACACAAATGGGGAAGGTCCTAACCAAGTTAGAAAGGCTTCAAGTACAAGCTTAGCAATAGCATAGGTGCCTGTCATCCAAGGCCTGGCCTACTCAAGCTTAGAAAGCTTATCATCTCTTCATCTATAGGTGATTAATTTTTGATCCATAGACACTCATGAAGATCACTTTCTAGGGGAAGAAAGGATCACAAGATCATAGATCTAGAACTGAAAAGGGCTTGAAGCTCCCTGGTTCATTCGCAAATTTTGGCATAAATTTTGAAAGGAATGATGGTATACTGGTTAGAAGACCTGGGTCCAAATCCTGCCTCAAATACCGCGTCACTTAAATTCTCTGTACCTCAGTTTCTTATTCTTTAAAATGAGTGTCTGGGACTTGATGGTCTCTAAGTTTGTTTCCTCCTCTAAATCTCTGATCCTATGACTTCAAAGGTTATCTTGTCAGTTCTCTTTATTCTACAGAGGAAGAAACTGAGGTCAAGAAGCTGAAGTAACTCGCCCCAATTCATATAGGTAGTAAATGTCAGAAGCAAGCCCTGAATCCAAGTTTTCTGATTCCAGAACCTTTGGCAGAGGGAATGCTTACACTGAGGACACTGTATTTTCTTGAATTGTTGAAGTAATGATGATGTGAATTGAATTGTGAATTATTGAAGTAATGATGATGATTATAAAAGTAATACCTTGCATATCCCTAGAAGTTCTCCTCTTAAAATGCTCCATTATCTTCTTTATCCATTCACTCAATCAATTTTAAGGACCTACTATGTACTCAACATTATGCTAGATATTATGAAGGGACATAGAAAAATAGTATAAGGTAGTCTAATCTATCTTCCGGTAGTTTATAGTCTTGGGGACTCAAGGTCTAACCAATATATATACTAGCTATAGCCAATAGGTAATTAAATGTTAAGTCTGAATTTCTATTTAGATAAGGAAAACAATGAGATTAATATATGTTAGGAAGGTACCATGGAGGGAATGAGAAGTGCATTGGGCCTTGAAGAATGAGGAGATTTTGTGTAAATGGAATAGAGATGGAAGAACATTTTAGACAAGGGGAAAAAAGGGATCCAAGGACAGGGAAGACAGCCTTAGTAGGGTGGAAGGTATGAATTGGGGAATTGTGAAAAACGTGATTGGATTAGGTACAATGGGGTAAAGTTATAGAAGGCCTTGAAAGCTATTCAAGGAGGATTTCTGGCCAAGAAGGCTACCTGAACTGGAGGCAGACCACCTGGCTCCCACATTCTGAGTCCAAAAAAGTCCTGAAGTTCACACCAGACCAAATAATGATTTTTTTTAAAAAATCTAATCATAAAGTACAGTAGGGGATTTCTTTCATCTCTGAACTGTACAAAAATTAGCCAGAAACCAAAGGGCAATAGGAGGGAGGGTCACCACCAAACCAGCCCTCATACGTAGCCTACAAGGCTCTGTGTCTGGAGACAGCAGAAGAACAAGGCTAACCTGAGAAAGTTCCTGGGTGGGACCCTTAGACTTCTCAAACAGTGACATTGGCTAGCAGTCAGTGTTGCATGATAGCCCTCAGATAAGGACAGCCCAGGCCCAGGATATCTGAAGTCCTAACACTCTCCTGAGATGTTGAAGAGGACCCTGAATATCCAGCATTCTGACCCTCAAAGATCTGGGGAAGAGGGGTGACCCAAGAAGTGATGGTCTGTGCAGGAACCCAAGCAACCCAGGAATATGAAGTAGGGCTGACCACCAAGAGCACAGCAGGGAGCAGAGTCAGTTCCTGGCACAAAGCTCCAATTGAGGAGAGATGAGAACACACCAAAGAACATACCAATCAATACAAAAATAGAGATCACCCAAAATATAGAGTAACTCTGTAACTACTGCAGATACATTCAAAGGCAAGGCAATGCTGGAGCCAGCTCAAACTGGTTTGCAAAAGCAGATTTTTAAATGTTCAGTGTGAGCATTTGCACGTTAGAAATTGGCAAATGCTATATAAATCAGTTTGATTTATTGTTTTGTTGACTCTCTAGATTTAAGAAAGAGATGGAGAAAAGGTTAATATAATGCAGACTAAACTTTAAAATGTGTTATATGAACATTGGTGGGGGGTGGGGTGGAGAGCTGGTTAAATATGTACTAGCATACTCCTGCAAGGTAAAGATGCATTTTCCACAAGGACTAAGAATATCTAGAAGAAATGAAGGAAGAAATTTTTTTAAATGAAGTAGAAATCTCTGGAGAAAAGAATTGGAAAGGGAATAAATAGCTTAGAGAAGAAACTGGTAAATCTTACCCAAGGAGTAGAATTCTTGAAATTGAGAATAGATCTAACAAAAGAGTGACTCTAGGCAATAGCAAGAAATATTAAAATGAAATCCAAAGATTGAAATAATAGAAGAAAATGTAAGCTATCTTATATCAAAACATCAGACTTAAAAAACAGACTAAAGAGAGATAGTTTAAGAATTATTAGACTCCATGAAAGCCATAATTAAAAAAAAAAAGACCTGGACACTATATTAAAATAAATCAGAAATGAAAACTGTCTAAATTATTTAGAAGAAGGCAAAATGTTACCTTCTGAAAGAAATTGAAAAGAAAAGTCCCAGGGATGTCATGGTCAAAATGCAAAGCTCTCCTATCAAAGGAAAATGTTGCCCATATCCAGAAGGAACCAGTTCGAATACCAATGAACTAGAGTCAGTTATCATTATTGTCAGTGAGTCTTATCACCAAAGCCCATGAGATTGAGATCTCAGGTTGTTGAAATAACCTTATCTGTGAGAAGACTGATGAATGTGCAATTAACCATGATGGTAAAGGTTAAATATCCAACCAGAAAGATGAATTGGGTCTTACCTTTGATGAATGACTCAACAGAGGGAACCTTGTCTTGCAAAGTTAATGTGCAGCTCCTGCTTTAGTCAGTATTGCTCTAATGCATCCCATGTCTATTTTCAGCATCTTCTCTTTATATAATTCACTGGATCATTATTTGATTAATTGTTTGGGGATTGCTCTTATCTTCCAAGTACTGTATCATCTTGGCACATACTTGGAGAAGTTCCAACAGAAGACCTTTGGACATTGCATTTATGCCAGAATTGTTTTTTAATGTATTGATTAGATTTGCTGATTTTTCTTTACCTCTTTTTCTTTTTTCTTTTAAATAATCTTGCCTTATAAAAGACAGTTATCTAGGAGGGGGAAAGTGAGGGATACAGGGGAAAAATTTGTATAAAATTGTATAATTGTTTTAAAAATTGTATAAAATGAGATAGTCACAAGAATTTATTTTGAAAGGATTTTTGTTGAAAAACATCAAACTGAAATTTATTTTTAAAAAAGGAAAAGAAAACCCTTGGACAAACATGGTTAGTGGCTGAATATCCATCCTAGCTTATAATATGCAACAGATGGGGAATATGAAGAACTGGATGTTCTAAATTTGTACATGTACTGTGTGATCAATTAAAAAAAATACTTAACAAATATAAAGATTCCATGTATGTTAAATACTAGATAATACTAGAAGATAAATATGGAAACAATTAATTCCTATTGGTTTCTCCAACCCCCAAGGGTCTGCAGGTAGTGGGTGAATCATTCCAGTCAGATTCCGTCTCACCCAGGGCCACCATTTCTGGCTGCCATCGGGGAAATTCCTTTGATGGAAGTGTATCCTCACAAGCATCCCTAGACAGAGGCCCTGCACATTCAAGGTAAGGAATTTTGATGTTGAAAATTTCATGTGTGTGTGTGTACACATATGTATACATGTGTACATCTATGTACATGTTTATATACACACATATACGTATGTATATATAAACACATGTGTGTATGTTTATATATAAAATAATATGTGTCATTCAAAGTATAAATGGATAGATAATACATTTGTGTGTATATAGAATATATGTATGTATATATCACAAACAATGAATACTTTGATACATACATCTTTTGCCTCAACTTATAAAAAATTGTTTACTGTATATTTTTTCTTTCCTAGTAAAATAAAATCAGTAAATACACGTGAATTATCTGACTAAATGAGTAAATCCCTCAAAATTTCACAACTCTGCCCTTTAGGTTCCATATTTATATATAACAAAACCTCATTTATTTGGGTGAATTGGGAGAAATGTCTGATTTAGTGCAAAGTTCCACTTGGAGAATATTCTTAAAGAAATACAGTTTTATTATTTTCAGTTAAATAAAAAGACTTCACATGAGACTTAAAAAAAGGTTGCCTAGTGCAACAGTTAAAAATGACTTTATTATACCAATTATGCATAAATAGGTACTTTTAAACTGCTTGAGACTGTTCTTTTATAGAATTTAAATATTTTCTTTATAATATTGTTTATGAAACTAATTTGCTTAGCTAATACATTCATTTTTTTCAGTGAACATTTATCAAGCACCTGTCTGAAACAGCGGGTTCTGAAATTAGTATTATTTTATGTTTCAATTTAATTCACCTGATATTAATCACCTTCTATGTACAGAGCCCTTTGCTAGTATTGGAAAACCAAAGATGAAAAATGACACAGTCCTACTCTCAAATAATTTACTGTCTTTTATGAGAAAAGGCATGTAGATAAGTGGTAATTCAGATTAGAACATGATGACTGAATAGAAGAGGTCAGAGGTATGCCATTACACCTCAAAGAATCTGCTTGTGCTGTATTTCAAATTAACAATGGGCAAAGAACTCCTAATAGTCAATGAATTTGCCCTGTGCAGCTCTGCCTCATTTAAACCCAGTTCACATTCACTTTCTAGTCAAGACATCATCCTCATGATTCCATTGGTCCTCTTCAAGAATGAAGGACGAACACCATTCCAGTAATATGTATATAATAATTAGAATCATTTAGCGAAGATTAGCATGTCCCCAGTGCAAGGATGACTTGAGCCTTCCTTTCAAAATTATTGCATGATCCATCTACCTTGTTTATATCTTGTAGGTACATAGTGGTTTACATGTTTTCTCTACCATTAGAATGCCTTTCTTGAAGACAGGGACTATTTTTGCTTTTCTTTTTATCCCCAATGACTGACTCATAAAAAGAGATTGATAAATGTTTGATGAATGCTGGTGTACAAATGCCCCCATGACAAAACAATAATAATAATAACAATAATTAGTTAACATTGACATAGCACTATGTGCCAAGTATTGTGCTAAGCACTTTTCAAATATCATCTCATTTGATCCTCACAGCAATTCTAGAAAGTAGGTACTATTATTATCCATTTTATAGATGAGGAAACTGAGGCAAACAAAGGTTAAGTGACTTGTCCAGGGTCATACAGCTAATAAGTATCTGAGGTCAGATTGGAACTCAGGTCTTCCTGACTCCAGGTCTGACACTCTGTCCACTGCACCACCTAACTACCTCTACCTGTTTGATCTAACAAATGCACTTTTATTTCAATTACTTAGGTACATATCTTTTCTCCTATTAAAGTATAAATACTCTGAGGCCAGAGACTGTTTCTATTCCCAGTACCATAATGCCCAACAAATCACACTCTTGCAGCCTGGGCAATTCTTGTCCATATCTTAACACAAATACTTAATACAGGAGCTAACCAATGAGCCAGAACCCTTCCTTTTGTTCTTTTACTGTTTCATGAAAATGAAAGTAGTACTTGGGCTGTCTGTATGTTAACCTTTGGTCATGTTCCGTGTACTTCATCTACTTTTCTTGCAATACATCGTCAAGACATTCTTCTTGATACTTCTCCCCCTTAATCCATTTTGGACAAAACTGAAGTTTATCACAATGGGTCCTTCCATTGATCTTTGGGTTATTCATAAAATTTGCATTTTTTCAAAATGATAGTGTTCCATGAAGCCATATAGAATCACCAAGAGAAGAAGGGTGTTAAAGGGAAGGGAATAAGCATTTATTAAGCACCTGTGAGGTTTTGATGATTGCTGGTGTACAAATGCCTGCATGACAAAATAATAGTAATAATAATAATTAGTTAACATTTATATAGCATTTACTATGTGCTAAGTGCTTTTTACAAATAATATCTCATTTGATCTTTACAACATTTGCTATTATTAGCACCCATTTTATAGATGAGGGAATTGAAGCAAAGGTTGTGTCTGCATTGAAATTAGAACTCAGGTCTTTCTGACACCAGGCTCTGCACTCTATCCACTGCGCCAACAACAGTGGATACAACAGTAGATAGCAACAGGCTAGCTGCCTGTTAAACAGATAGGTCGTTTAGCAGTGAGCAATTTGGGACCATTGAAAGCATTACACAATTTACCCAATGTGATCACAGAATCCCAGGCATAGATAATCAAATCTAGGAACTAGAAAGGACTTCAGGGGCCACTTCATTCAAATTACCTGAAAAAGAATCTCTGCTATAGTATACCCCGTAAATCGTCATTGTTTGAGGACCTCCAGTGAGAGGAGAACCCAGTACCTCCCAAAGCCATGTCCATTCCTTTTAGATAGACCAGATTATTAGGAAGTTTTTTCTAACATCAAATCTAAATTCTTTTTCTCACACCATCCACCTGTTCTTGTTGTTTCTTCCCTTTGAAGCTATGCAAAATAAAGCATTCCCTTTTCCACTTGATAGTCCTTCAAATACTTGAAGGCAAACTATTAGGTCCCTTCCCCCCGCCCCCATCTTCTCTTCAGTTGAAACATTTCCCAGTTTCTTCAATCAATCCTAATTTGTGTTATCTTAAGAACCTTGATAGCTTCCTCAATGTTTCCTCTTGACCTTTTGTTTTTCCAGATGAATTTTATTATTTTCTTTTCAGCTCTACAAAATAATTCTTTGATAGTCTGATTGGTATGGTACTGAATAAGTAAATTAATTTAGGTTGTATTGTTATTTTTATTGCACTAGATTGGCCTACCCATGAACAATTAATATTGTTTATATTTGTCTCTGTTCATGTGAAAAGTGTTTTATAATTGTGTTCATGTCGTTCCTGGGTTTGTTTAGCAGGTAGTCTCCCAAGTATTTTATATTGTCTGCAGTTATTTTACATGTAATCTCTCTTTCTATCTCTTCCTGCTGGGTTTTATTGGTAATATATAGAAATGTTGATGATTTGTGGGTTTATTCTATATCTTGCAACTTTGCTAAAATTGTTAGTTATTTTGAATAGTCTTTTAGTTGGCTCTAAGTTTCTTTAAGTATGCCATCATATCATCTACAAAAAGTGAGAGTTTTGTTTCCTCATCGCCTATGAGAAATTCTTTCAGTTTCTTTTTTTTGTCTTATTGCTATAGCTAGCATTTCTAGTACAATATTGAAAAGTAGTGGTGATAATGGGTTTTCCTGCTTTGGCCCTAATCTTGTTGGAAATGCTCCTAATTTATCCCCAATACAGATAATGTTTGCTCTTGGTTTTAGAGAGATGCTGCTTATCATTTTAAGAAAAGTTCCATTTATTCCTATGCTTTCTAATGTTTTAATAGGAATGGATATTAAATTTTGTCAAAAACTTTTTCTGTATCTATTGATGTAATCATATGTTTCATTGTTGTTGTTTATGTTACTGATATGGTCAATTGTGCTAATAGTTTTCCTAATATTGAACCAACCATGTATTCCTGGTATAAATCCCACCTGGTCATAAGGTATGGTCTTTGTGATAGATTACTGTAATCTCCTTCCTATTATTTTATTTAAAATTTTTTCATTAATATTCATTAGGGAGATTGGCCTATAGTATTATTTCTTTATTTTTGCTCTCTCTGGCTTAGGTATAAAACCATATTTGTGGGGCAGCTAGGTGGCACAGTGGATAGAGCACCAGCCCTGGAGTCAGGAGGACCTGAGTTCAAATCTGGCCTCAGACACATAATACTTCCTAGCTGTGTGACTCTGGGCAAGTCACTTAACCCCAATTGCCTCACTAAAAAAAAACAAAAACAAAAACCATATTTGTGTCATAGAAGGAATTTGGTAGGATTCCTTCTTTACCTACTTTTGCAAATGGTTTATATAATACTGGAATTAATTGTTCTTTAAATGTTTGGTAGACTTCACTTGTAAGTCCATGAGGTCCTGGGGGGTTTTTTTCCCCTTAGGGAGCTCATTTATATCATGCTCATTTTCATTTTCTAAGATAAGTATTGTTGAAATATTCTATTTCTTCTTCTGTTAATCTGGGTAATGTGTATTTTTGTAAATATTCATCCATGTCATTTAGATTGTCACTTTTATTGTCATGTAGTTGGGCAAAATAGCTCTGAATAATTGCTTTTAATTTAATTTTCATGAGTTGTGCATTCACTCTTTTCATTTTTGAGACTGGTAACTTGCTTTTCTTCTTTCTTTTTTTAAATCTGGTTAGCCAATAGTTTATCTAATTTCTTTTTTATAAAACCAGCTCATGGTTTTATTTACTAGTCAATGGTTTGTTTTGTTTTGTATTATTTTATTTTTCTTTCAGTTGTATCAACCCTTCCTTTGATTTTTGGGATTTCCAATTTGGTGATTAATTGGGGATTTTTAATTTGTTTTCTAGTTTTTTTAGTTGTATCCCCAATTTGTTGATCTGTTCTTTCTCTCTTTTGTTGATATGTTTAGAGATATAAATTTCTCCTTAAGTACTATTTTGGCTACACCCATTGAATTTTGGTATGTTGTTTCATTGTTATTATCTTTAATGAAATTATTGATTATCTCTATGATTTGTTCTTTGACCCACTCATTATTT